TTTCTTAATTATTTAAAAAATTGTTTAAGAATTTAATTTGCAGAAGACAAAAGGTTAATTTTGAGAGCTAATTAACTCGCACCGATGTCATCCCTTTCAGTGATTGTAGCGCCAAGCGATTATTCACTGCTGATCAGTTTGGGGTTGATTATGAACCTAATCGATCTGGCGTTTGAGACCCGGCAAACCTCCGCAGATTCCAGTACCCTACATCTAGGGTAGAGCATATATAGATCGTATATAATACAGTTCTATGGGTAGCTGGGTAGAGTAACGGAATCTGCCGAGGTTTGCCGAGCGGGCGTTTGATTCACCTCAACACTACGTCAAGGGCGATAACTCGTATCAACAAGCTTGGACCTGCGGGTATCCGTATCGAGAGGATCGATATCATTGTTGGATAGGTAAAACTGTACCACAGCATGGGCTAAGTTATGCTAGCCATTCTTTATAAGAAGACGAGAATGTACACAGAAGATTTGCAGAGGAAGTGTTGGGCCAACAACAAAAGATAGAAACTTGAAAGAAAAATGCCTAGGAGTAGGAGGTCAAAATCATCATACCGATATTTTTATTTTGCAATCGGAACTAAATTACCCGGTCATTGTTAAAATATGCAACATCCTCAACAAAACAGGAAACCGCATGGTAGATTTAAACGAGACTCTACTTTTATCTTGGATAATTTTGACAATTAGGTAAAAACACTGGACAAGGAAAAGAAATACAAAAAGACCAAGACAAAACTCGGGCAAATGCGGTTGGCCCTGGCAGCTTTCATAAATGGCCTGACAGATTTGCATCGAAACTCTATGAGAAAATTTGCAGGCCAAAGTTGTTGTTTACGATCAGTCCATGATAAAATGTACATTGCGTTACGTATGTGTTATGAGCTCGATCTCAAGTCGAGAAATACACCGAGAAAGTTGATCCAGGAAATCTTTGTTTGTGAGGGAAATTTATATTCTATTTTTAGCATTTTCTCATTCTGCCACGTGACTACGAAATTCCCCTCCTTAAATATCAACAGCTTTTCACTTTATCCGGGCTTGACAGCTTCAACATTCAAAGATACGGTGGTGTCGGCATTCAAATATTATTGCCAGTGCTTAATTCCAGCTATTGACGGCGAAAGATATATTTCCGGCTTGATAAGGTTGGAAACATTTATAAATCGCTCAATTGATGAAAGTTCCATTAGCCCTCTGATGGCTGCAGCCATGATGAAAGACCCACAACTGGTGTCAATGTTATTAGACTTCGGGGCAGACCCATCACTGCGGATGGGGGAGGATGATTCCGCAAATTCATCTCCTCTGGGCTATATTATTTGCTATTTAAACAGTTATTGTGCTCTTACTAAATATTCAAAATTCGATGGCAATATTTTTAAACAAGCATTAGAATGCTTTCACTTCATGACAAAAGTTGTTACCAATATTCAAATAAAAGAAAATCAATTACAGTGGAAACCAGATGATCACTGTAAAAATACTACTGAAAATATCTTTACTGTTCATCCACTACTTGCATCATATATAAACCTTGATATGTTCAAACAACCATCATCATTGCAGCAGCTTTCTTCTGCAGTAATACGAAAAGCAATAATTAAATATTCTTGTGACATTTTAGCCAATTCAATTGAATATCTTCCAATTCCACAATTACTAAAACGCTTCCTTAGTTTGGATTAAAATTATTTTTACATCCATATAAAATGACGCACTCTTGAAAGTGGTATTGGCAGCATATTTACCAGTAGCTTTATTTTAAATTTTCCAAATCTAATATATGTACTTTACTATATAAGCATATATATTAGTTGATCTCATTCAGTGACAATTTATGTCTTTAAAATTTAATTGGTATTAGTAGCATAGCTAAGAGGGGTGGGGGTCATGGTCAGCCCATTTGTTTATCATAGACTCTTATGCTACCACAGAAATACTGCTTTTTGTTTAACAATTTAAGTATGTTTCATGTGTAGGGCCTATTTTGTTGTGTTTTTTTTTTTTTTTTTTTTGGGGGGGGGGGGGCGAGTGGGTAATACTCAAGGACTGCCTCTAGCTATGCCACTGATTGATATTAAAGATATTGTAATTATTTATATATATATATGCATCAGATTTTTATTTTAGAAAAAAGGTACATGTAGTGCAGTTTTCATTTCAAATGTATGTTATTTAAGATCATTATTTCTTCATATAAGTTAATCTATATTATATGCAGTTTAAAAGATTAATATTTTGGTTGAGCCAACAAAGGATTGGGTGATACAAATTAAATATTTATCAACCCCACATATATATACACTGTACATAATTATTTTTTAATGATCCCTTTAATGTATTGATGTAATTTAATTTAAAAAGTTATTTTATTTAAGGGCGATGAGACTATAGGATGGCCATTTCCTCTGGCTATAATAAGATATATTTAATTTCAAGAATACAATTTTTCCACAATTATTTTAAAATATCAAGAAATGAATTATGTTTTAGATATTTTAATACTTATTTTAAAAAATAAGATCTCGATGATCCAAGGCATATGTTTTTATGGAAACAGATTATGGCAGTGTTATTAATTTATGCTGGTTTCTTAAATTTTTTGGCAAGAGAGAATGAATGAAGGTAACATTTGTGTAATAAACAACACTTGATTCTATGCTTCTTTGCAATGAATTTGGATCACATTATTGATTATGTCTAAAATTGACTGTTTAATTACATTTTCTTTTAATTAAGAATGATGTCACATTATTTTCAAAGTGATATCACCACAACTAAGTTGTTTTATATAGCTGATATTGTCACAGACTTTGTTATTTAGAAGGTAAGGCTGGAACTGAATGCGACATATTAGTCTACTGCTAAACAGAATTTATCTCTTGCTATCTATCGCCTTGTCGCCCTTTAATGTTTGTTTGAATGATTCTGTATTTTGATTCCATTGCATGCATGTCTAGAATTTGTATCCTTATAATATTTACACTATTTATTTATTTATTTATGAGAATTAATTGTACATATTTAATATATTTTTAATATTTAATTTAAGTATTATTGCCTAAATGGCCACTGATTTGTTTTGAATACTGTATGAATAAACCATCATGTTTTACAACTTAATCTGATTCCTTTCTCCTGTTGATATTGTAGAAAATTATAATTGAAAACAGCAGGGAAAATAACTGCATATTAATTTGTCAATGATATTCTAAAAGGACAGACCATCAAATAATTCAGTCCTATCTGAAATCCTGTTTCAAATAAACTCAGCAAACAACAAAATACAACCAAAAACAAAATGAAAATGAAATTGGGTTTGAGGTCATATGTTTCGGCACCAACAAGGCTAATGAAGATGAGCATACATCATGCAATGTGCTTTGGGTAAATTTAATCAAATTACAACTGTTAATGGGACCATCCTGATTTCAACAAAATCTCAGAAATAAAAGTCTGTGTACGTATGAAATTTAAGTGCCGAAATATAAAGGAATGGTGTATTGACCTTGTCTCAAAATTTCAGCTCCAAAAATTGAGTTGTTTGGACGTGAATGTCAAAACTGCTTATCCGGAAACGTAATCCCTTTAAGATTGCATATCCAGTTTTTATGTTGGGTGACCTTTTAATCTATTGCCGTTCCTTTAGAGGTCTATACTGTGCATGACCCACTTGCTGTACTTAATATCGAAAGGTGAATTTCACTTATATACGTTATTTTCATAAAATAAAAATTGTTTTTATCCAGTTACCATATAATACAGCTTGGGACACTGGTTTCCATTTCCAGATGAAGACTGACGTGTTTAAGTTCTTTGAAAATGTATCACCTATATTGAGTTAGTTGCTCGGCCCTAAGGTAGCAGTTAGTATTCTCCAAAATATAATCAAGATTGGCCCTTTAAGCGTTCATTCTGCACATGACACCAAACAACAAAATGTGGTTCCTTGCCAGGCTCTCCATCCTGCACCACTGACAAGGATGGACCAGAAAAAACAAGTATACTACATGTACTTAAAGTGGGGTAATTAAAAAATTATTGTACCTGTATCATTAATGTTTCACATGTGGATGGATGATTGACAACTTCACTCCAAATTGCAGATTCATCGCTCAATAGTGTCAACATGATACCAGTTTTAAAAAAGAATGTCAAATAAAGTTTTGCCAGATTGAGAAGTCACTTCACACTCACCTTATTTTACATAAACAAATGGTCAATATGTCCCCTGTCTTGCTCATAGATACCTTTTCCACCCAGACAGCAAACTTTTTATTTCTTCTAAGGTTATTTTTGCTCATTTTGCAATAATTGTATTCTTCAGTTCATTTTTTGTAAATGGTTTTGTGGGTCCTTTAAAAACCTTTTCTGCGAGACTGTTCAGTCAGATTCAGGTCCCGGAACTGTTGCGGCCACTGATATTTTTTTATTAAGTCTGGTGTAGATTGTTTTATATGGAGATTAAATTCTGAGCCACGCATCACATTTTCAATTAAATATTTCTGGGGAGATCTCATAGAGATAGCTCTGAGTCTTTCTGCTGGAACACAGAGCAGTTGTTCGGTTAGAATCTGCGACAATCGGGTATTAATCCACATGTTAAACGTTAATGTATAGGTATACTACTTTTTGAATTATTCCACCTTACTCGTTTTTTCTGGGCCACCTGATATAGAGAATTTCCTTAAATAAACAGAATAAGACACAGCAACTCATCATAACACTTTACTTTAACCTTAATTAAAGACACTTGTCTTCTTTTATAATCTTACGGCTAGTCCCCGGATCCATTCACTTAATCTGATATGTGCGTTTGTGATTTCTGCATGTTGTGTCTTGTCCGTAAATTTGTTTTGTGTAATTGTTTGTGTGTGGTGCAGTCTCCCTGCACTTACTATTAGTAAACCTGGTGTATACTAAAAATTGAAATCTAAATTACTTCTGGCAGAAAAAACTGTTTGATCAAATATTGAAAATAATAAAGACCCCTATCTGATATATTTTATTTTCTTCGTTTACCCATTATAAGATTTTTCTCAGGTAATTGTAAAGGTGCTATTAAGTGTGCTGTTTTAACTGATGTCTTGTTTATTACCCGAACTTTAATCTGACAACCAACACTTCTTAACAATAATGGCATTCTGCAATAAAACAAATATGGCAGTATTAAATATATGAACAGGGTGGTAAACAGATGGATATTGGTGAATTCTAAAGAGAATACAATACTGCAACAAAAGACTGCTATATGTGAGAATTGGTAAAATATTTGGTGTTATGCACCAGACATATTGCTATTCGTAGATGAATGAAGCAAACTTGGATTTCAAAAAAGCTGAAGCTAACAGATCAACAGCAACCAGTACAGTCATATTAGTTAAGTGAATTTATGAAATGCTACTGAACCAATATTCTAAAAGTAATGCATGCATTTATAAGCGATTGATACTGCAAATACATTTTTGTGAATATAATTTAAATATATGATAAATAGAATACATTCTGGAAAACTGGATTTTCAATGAAATGGTCTTTAACTATGTACAACAGTGTACTAAATTTCAATCAAATATCTCAAAGTTTAACCTAAAACAACTCCCAAAAAATTAATGGAATCCTACGAAATGTGAACATGATCTCTAACTCTGTTGTATACAGGATGGACCAACAGATGATCAAATATATTAAAATTTAATCTAAAAGCAATTATGCTGGGCAAAGAGGGACAAATGTTCCGGGCCCCCCACCTTTTGGGTTGACCACAAGATCAACAGTTCCATTGGATGACCAGAGATTCTAATTCAGATTTGAAAATATGAAGGTCATTCTCTCAGTCTGCAATCAGGGGTCCCATTTTCACCTCTGAACTCCGCTGGTAGACATCTATATGTTTATAGTGCCGCCAGTTCGTTGGGAAATGAAGGATCATTCATACATTAATACAGATATAATAGGCTTTGTGCTGAAATATTTATTTCTTGTTCAGTAGTGTGGGAACTATATTTTAAGTGGCTTGGAAGACTTTAAGTCTATGGTGGGCGGGGCGATGTATGTGCCAGGGACATTTTAGGAAATTGCTGTATCCTAGAGACTACATGTTACATGGATTCATTGCTGCTGACTACTCACATAGCTCTATTTTGAAGAATACAGAATTTACCTAAGAACAAAGACTCAGAAACTGGTTGGTAAACACCAACCCAGCTGAACAGGTTCATGTGCCACTGTTCTTGTTACACTCGGACAACCAAAAAAGCAACATAGGAATTTTCCAAACATGTAAAGATTTGCTATTTTGTGAGTTTGACTATTCTCCTCCATGAGTTAAATTTCTGCACTGGACACTACGCTTTTTTTTTCTTAATCCAGTCACCCCCCCTCCCCCAACCTGTTGATTTGTCTCCCCCCCCCCCCCCAAGGTCTTACTTACAGAGCCAACCCGGCTCCCGGTGGACTTATAACCATACTATGCCTCAAGCATGACACCCATCATAACATATTGATAAATGGATTGTTTTTTCAGAAATCTCCACATACCAGTGGATTAAAAAACACAAGTACAACAAAGGTTTGTGAACCCCTCATTTGAGAAATGATATCAGGTAAGATTAATGATACCTGTTTCACTACATTCAGCTACCGGTAAACAGAGAGATAGTTAGGAATTGAAGATTGGAAGCTGAAGCTATGTAATAATGTTCAAAGTAGAGTTTTAACTTAAACTAAGATACAATCGAAATTTTAAGAAATACTGCAATTCGATTGGCTGACCAATATGCAAATTGGATATATGCAAATTGATTTTACTGGTCAGCCAATCGAATTGCAGTATTTCTTAAAATTTTGATTGTATCTTAGTTTAAGTTTTCGTGAATAAGGGCCCTGATACATGTACACCATTTTAGCGCTATAGGAATCACTTGCAAACTCCAGTCCCGTTCAGTAATTTCACCGATCTATTCTGTTTCGCTCTTTTGTTGTCTGCGAAAATATATTCGTTAGCTTTTTTGAAATCCGACTGAATCCAAACTTGGACATTTATCTAGCACTGGAATTTTGATTTCTTAATTAAATATTAAATAATCAATCGCAGAACACATTAGTGTAGAAATTTGATATTTTAGCTAAAAATGCAAATGGCACATCATTACTTTTAAGACTCAAAGCAATCATTTTTTCTTTCAAGGTAAATTGAATTTTACAATTGTTTTCTTAGCAAATGACCTGACAAATCACTCTAGAAATTATGTATTCTTTGACGACAATCAGAACCTCAAGTATCTGCAATCTCTTAAAGCATAGTTACATTCTATCCAAAAAAGAAAGAAGTTCATACACTGTTCACATGAACAGGAGAAAATATATACTCAAAACCAGGAGAAAAAAAACCCATTTAAATATGAAAAATGATCAAAATATAACTTTATAAGAACTTGATTTACCTTGTAGCACCTATCTTTAAATCTTTCGCGATGTCTGAATATTCTAATGTAAAATTATCTACTATTAGACATAAAACTAAGATGTGAAGAATAATTTTATCTTTCATTCGGATTGATAAACATCTGAAAACCAGATAAACAAAACAATTATGATATAATATGAAGCATTTCTAAAAAGATATAAAAGAGTCGGCTACAAGAAGTGATTTTGTAGTAATTTTTTTTTAAAGGGGCCAACACTTACAAAATCGCTTTAAATCAGCCACCCAAGCTGCATGACAAAACATTGGCATCCATCAGAGTCTGAAAAGTACTGATACAGTCTGCCGTCGACTAGCCAATGTCGTAGCCCAGCCAAGGGGACCCATCCTGACAGCCCATCATCGACTGCAGTGGGCTTTGACGCATCAACACAGGCAACATCACCAATAGAGAAAGCAGGTTATAAATTTCAGAGCTCTTTATTTCTCTAAATTCAGTGTGACATTTCTTTTGTTGTTCAGTACAGTTAATATTAAGATTTTACCTGACTGGTTTTCTGGTACCATCTCCTTCTATTTTTAATGTAAATTGTTGTAAAATGGAGTATTTTACTTTATCTGGCCATTCCTTAGGTAAAATATCTAGAAAGGTACACAAAATTTCGTTAAAGAATTACAAGTATCACTTTGGAGATCCTGATCATCATCAAACAGGTTTAATTACCCATCATTTCTTTGTATTATTAATAGTAACTATTTCAAATTTTAAGGAGGTTTGAACTTTTCTATTCACTTAAAAATTGAAATTTTCTCACAAATCATAAAGATCAAATATTAAACTAACATATGAAATCAATTTGTTCCATTCTTTTATAACCAGATCAATCTTAATATGGGCCTTTAATAGACTGTGCCGGGTCGACTGCACCACACATCTATATATATATTTGTGACTGTCGTTTGTCTGTCTGTCTGTTCGGGGTTGGTGGCTACACTAGGTCTGCCCCGAGTCTGAAATTTGGGGTAAAGGGGTAGCTCGGACCGGGGAGTAACATAGGCCAGGTGGCGTTAGTCTACCACTTCCGGTTTCGGAGTTATGACCCCCGAGCTAAGACGGTCTTTTCGAGGTTGGCGGCTACACTAGGTCTGCCCCAAGTCTGAAATTCGGGGTATAGGGGTAGCTCGGACCGGGGAGTAACATAGACCAGGTGGCGTTAGTCTACCACTTCCGGTTTCGGAGTTATGCTCCCCGAACGAAGCCGGGTATCTGTCTGTCTGTTCAGGGTTGGCGGCTACACTAGTTCTGCCCCGAGTCTGAAATTCGGGGTATAGGGGTACCTTGGACCGGGGAGTAACATAGGCCAGGTGGCGTTAGTCTACCACTTCCGGAGTTATGACACCCGAGTGAAGCCCTGTTCGGGGTTGGCGGCTACACTAGGTCTGCCCCGAGTCTGAAATTTGGGGTATAGAGGTAGCTCGGACCGGGGAGTAACATAGGCCAGGTGGCGTTAGTCTACCACTTCCGGTTTCGGAGTTATGACCCCCGAGCGAAGCCGGGTCTCCTGCTAGTAATTACATAAAACAAATCTACGGACAAGCACACACAATAAGCAAAAATCACAAAAAAACGTACATATCAGATTAAGTGAATGGATAAATATATTTTCTATTGACTTCTGAATGTATGTCCCTGAAAACACATCATTTATCAAAATCAACACAAAAATTCCATTTTAATATGTTACCTTTTTCTCTTAATTCATTTGCTCTTTTTCTATATAGTGTTGTTAGCATGTGTATATACATTAAACATTTACATTTCAACCAACGTCGATCTTCATCTAGAGGTAAAATAGGTAACCTATTCATTATAAATGTACTATACCTACAAATCAAGAAATAAAACATAGTTCAAGTATTTTTACACAGACAAGAACAATCTTTATTAAAATGCATATATATCAGAAGCATTTTACTTCTGTGGTTATGGTTCTAGAATCCAATATACATGATGTATCTTTAAGATTTGAATTGTAGCAAGTATGAACATCACTGAATTTCAAAATTTGTTAAATTGTTCAGACAGGAGAGAATTAAAACTATGGAAACAAATAAACACCAGTAACTGATTATAAATTAAATTGTATGTGCACATTTATCATAGAAGAACAAATTAGATGTAAGGCCACACAAAAAATTATTCTGGCTCTCAGATACCGCAGAGTCATCAAATATGGGCCCCATCACACAGTTTTATTTTTAAAAAACTAAAACTAAACACAAAGTTATTCATTTCCGCTTGTTCGTCTTTCCTGTGATCAAGGGAATTAACTCTATATAGAACCAAGAACTGCCCTCCTGCATCAATTTTATTTTTTTTTACAAAGGATTGCCTGAGAACCTGAATATATTTTTTTGTATGGCCTAAATTACTGAATAATGTAAAAATAACAGTTATTACCCTTCAGAATTTTTAAATTCATCTGTTTTATAATCAAAAAACTTTCGACAAATTTCTGTTAATGCTTCCATTTCTCGAACACCAATAACTATAATATAAAAGATATATTACTAATTTTTATTTTCTCAAGATTGACTTTACCGAAGTTTTAGACTTCTTTGCCAGTAATTATCATTTCATGTTCTATGACAACATATATTTTGAATGTTACAGAGTGATATCATACTAACTATCTTCAACTTTATAAATATCTTCTGGTGATGTGACCTCAGCATGATGTGGTGGAAGGCAATCATTGGAATCATCTGTTGATGGTTTAGCTGTAAGAACAAACAGTTCCCAATAGTAAATGTAATCATGAATGACAAGCTAGAATGCATACTTTACCAATTTTTTTTTCATCAGAAACATAAAGTAAGACCCCCACCACCCCAACTACAACATGAGCAGATTACTGGATTGGCCAACTCCAAGTTCACTAGTCTAGGGACCGGGTATCATTCAGATTTGACGAAAATAGGAAAGAATCTGAGCTTACCATCTAGAATCTAATACTCGTATCCAGTTAATAGATTGCCACCCAGAAAGTGTTAAATGCCGTCGTCAAGATTCATCAAAAAACGTCCAGTTTGCGCTACGTGTAGTCTAAGAAACGCTGTTTAGTTTTGACATTGGTCGTCCAGTTTATGAAACTAAATGGTCATAAACCAGACGACCAATATCAAAACTAAACTAAATGGTCATAAACTAGACAACCAATGTCAAAACTAAACAGTGTTTCCTAAACTACATGGTAGCAGAAACTAGGCATTTTTTTGATGAATCTTGATGGCATTTAATACTTTCTGGATGGCAATCTATTGGATACGTGCATTAGATTCTAGATGGTAAGCTCAGTTTCTTTCCTTTTTTCATCAAATCGAACATGTAAACAAGCATTGATACAGCAATTGATTTATCCAAGCAAACACTGTATATATGAGATTTTTACTTTGTACGTTCGTACCATACAAATGGGCTAATATTATATATATCTACTCTTTTCCTGTAAAAAATGTTGTTTTAAAAAGCTATATACAAATATATACCAGTTATTTCTTTAAAATTATCTTGTGAAATAGCGTGATCTACTGCACTGCCAATAGCTGAATCTAAAACATCAGTCTGTATAGCATTTCTCTGTGATAATTCAACAGCACGCTGTCTTTTAGTACTACCAAAAGCCTTTGTTAATTCTTTCATCTACAAAAATATATGAAAAGGTAATACTGTTTATAATAATAACTAGGCCTGTGACACAGCTATAATGGGTTTCACTGTTGTCCTTTAACCTTTATCTGAAATTAATATCTATATAAGGACGGCACAACAAATAACCACTGATTGAACCATAGGATCGGATTAGAAATATTTGTGTGATCATACATCTTCATATTTGGAAAAATATTTGTTTTAAAGGTTAGTATTAGTTTTTGTCAAAATGTGGTTGTATATTGTTATCGCCTTTGTCCGTCCATCGTCCACAATTTCTTATGAACACTCTACAGACTACATTTATCATCAGATCTTTCTAAACTTATAGACATTGTTAATATTAAGTGACACAAAGAAGCCTAATGATTTCAACAATTTCTGTTACTTATTTCCAGAGTTAACTTATTTCCAGAGTTAACTTATTTCCAGAGTTATCTAATTTAAAAAGTTATCAATCGATCTGTATGAAGTTGACAAAATTGTGGCCTCTAGAGGTCTACAACCTCGATATACCATACTTTTACACCATTTGCAAACGAGGGGCAGCCATTTTGCCCTGCAGTTTTGGTCTGATTTTCAGGAAATTCAAACTCAACCTCTAGAGGCACCACAAGCTAAAAAAAACCAATTTTCTGTACAATCAACGGCCATAATTCAGGACGTTACGATCCGATATGCGCAAATATCGACAGGAACCAAAATTGTTGGGTTATAAACATGTATTTCAAGTTTCATCAAAATTGGATCCAAATTGTGACCTCTAGAGGGTCCACAACCTTGATATACCATATTTTTACACTATTTGTCTACGTGAGGTAGCCATTTTGTTTGTCAGTTTTTGATATGCAAAAGAAACCAAGATCTTTGGGTTATAAACATGCATATCAGGTTTCATCAAAATCAGATGAAAATTGTGACCTCTAGAGTATCGACAAGCTAAAACCGTGATTTTTCGTCCAATCAGGGGCCATAATCCATGAAGTTATGATCTGATCCATGGGAGATAGACCTATATATTTCAAGTTTCGTCAAAATCAGATAAAAATTGCGACCTGTAAAGTATACACAAACAAATTGTGAACAGACGGACAGGAGAGATGGCTTAATATGTCCACGTGAAAATATGGGCATATAAAAATGATAATTCCACTATTAACTTTGATTTATACAAATCAGACTATAAATAATTAATCTGGGACTTCAGAGCTCAGTTTGTGAATGTTCCAACGATTACTGTTAAAATTATGTCAAAATTTAAAAAATAATGACAAATTCAGTCATTTTGTACCTTTCACAGGAATTTTGAAATCAATTTAATTTCTAAAAGTGATACACATGTTCCAGATAAAAGTTGGCCAATGAATTGCCACAAAACAATAATGCATACATTGTAAAACCTAACAGCAGAATGCAAAACGGCAGTCATTCACAGTCTTCCATGAATCTGCAAAGAGAACCGAGATCCGGATTCTTCAGAATCAAAAACAATCTTAAATGAGAACTTGACAGGACCAAGTTAGGATTAATTTTTAATACAGTCCGTATTTCCATCATTACTAAATTATAACAATGTTTCAGTGTTTACCTTATCTGTGTAGGACAGTGATGTAATCTGTGGCTTTACTTCTTGTTTTTCCGTAACTAAAAATAAAAAAATGTTTATACTGGTTATAAGAAATGAGCTGATATGTGTGTAAAGGACGAACCAGCGGTAGGGGGCGACAACAATATACAACCACGTTTTAATGTGGGCGTATAAAAATGATCAATTATCAGGAATACTGATGTTGTAACCAATAATCGACTCATCTCTACCGGTAATATATTTAAATGAGAAACTTGCATAAAATATAAGTTGACAACCAATAATATATTATAACAAAACACAATACAAGGTATATATGGATGTATATATTTATTTAAACGAAAGCATTGCATAAAATAAAGTTAACAGTGATATAATTTTATATTGCATATTCAAATAAAAAGAGTATATTCTTACCATTTAATTGTGGTATCATGTTGAAAAGGTCTGCATCATAAACTTTCATTTTTCCAGTTCTTTTATTTCTTACCCCTACATAATATCTGGAGAATAAAAATTTCAATAAGTGAACATAAAAAATATCTTAGTCAACACTTTACAAACTAAAGTTATAGTTACTTTCCCTCACTGGTGATGAGTAGCTCAACTATTTTTAATGAAATAAAGTGGGATTTAACGTCCTACTGTTCCCCTTCAACTGGGCTAATGAAGACGGACATACGCTATAGAGTGTGCTATGAGGGAAATTTTGTCCGGGTACAACAGCACTATAGCCTACTCCTGTATCAAATTCGAACTACAGGGGTTCTTTTTCAAGCACACCAATGTGTACATGGGCGTCATGGGACCTCAGTTTTTCCTCACTTCCGAACAACTATACGTTGTCCCTTCTCAGGCCCTCAGTCCTACACCACTGACAAGGGGGAAACCATACCGATGAACTTTCTCGGTTAACACAGGGATCGAACACGGGACCCTAGGTTAGCAAGCGAAATTCTTACTTAATGAGCCATTGTGGCTCTAGCTCTTTTTAAACAATTTTTACTGTCAGTTTTTTCCTGCCACTTATTTTTCCACTTTGTTCGGTACAAAGTGGTTACAAAGAATCTGAATTTAGATTTCCTGTTCTGGCTCATAATCATGGTTTTAATACATAAGAATAGCAATAATAGGACATTCAGATGATATTTATTAAAAAATCTACGTGGTCAACTCCATTTAAGATTCCTATCAGTTGACTAGGATGTAATTTGGCTTTTTGTGGGTAAAAAGACTAAAAAACACAAAATGTTCAAAAGAAAGTCATAGCCATAAGCTAATAAAGTCAATGGTGAAAAGTACTTTAGTCTGACTCCAGAAATAAAGAGATGGAGAAATGGGGTTTAACATCCACTCAACATAAACTAGATCATTTTGAGACTAATAAGGTACAATCTTTTTTTAATAATTTTCGAGAGAGTAAGGGCCTTTCGCAGTGGAACAAAACCGAAGCATGCGGAGAAACCCATTGGGCGACACCTACTGCTTTGTCATGTACAAGGGGATCACGTGTCTAAGCGGGTAAGACGCTAGCTTGCTAGCCTGGAGGTTGGGTGTTCGATCACTGCATTGGCCGAGAAAGTTCATCCAGATTTTCCGGCGTGGTTCACCCTTGTCAGTGATGCAGGACGGAGGGGCTGACAAGGAAAGCTGTCTAGTCGTTCGGATGGGACGAAAAACCGAGGTCCCATGTACACATTGGCGTGCACGTAAAAGATCCCTTGGCAGTTGGAATTCGATGTAAGAGTAGGCCGTAGTGCCGCTGTCCGGGCAAAATTTCCCTCATAGCACACTGTATGGCGTATGCCCGTCTTCATTAGCCCAGGTTAGGAGCAGAACAGTAGGACGTTAAACTCCATTTCATTTCATTTTTTGTCATGTACAAGCTTGGGATAAATACAACACCACAGTATGATCTAAAGTGCACACATTCAAACACTATACCAACCAACTCCTCCTCAAAAATAAAGCAAGCATTAATGTATCTTCCAGAATACAGTAACTTGTTTTTTTTCGCTAATTTTTAAATATAATATATCTCCCATTAAATATCAAAAGAGTTAGTTTCTTACTGTCTCAATATAGTTATTACTATTATTATAATAATAAGAAACCTCACTTGTATAGTTGTGATGGAGCTGTTATATCTGTACTATCACCAACATACGTCTTGCATGTTGATGTATCTCTTTCAGCCACCTGTAAAAAAAAAAAATAGTTAGATAGTGTCTTAATTAGTAGAAAATTGGTAGAAAAAAAGGTTATCCACAGTCCTTTTCTTGACAAAATATTACTTCAAAAGCACGGTTTGGGATAAGGTGAACAATTCATTCATCCACCATAAGTGGCAAAGACAACAGCAACAACAACTCTGTACTAGAAAAAAAAATGTTATTAACATTAAGAGAATGACAGGTTTGTCACCCCATGTCCACTATCAAATTTGCAGTGATCAATGCCATTCCATAATTCCGATGAAGAATGTAGATTAGACTCAATGAAGAATTGGTTTGACATTTATTTGTCGAAAAGTTGAAACTGATTCTCAGTGTAATTTGCAGTGATCAATGCCATTCCATAATTCCGATGAAGAATGTAGATTAGACTCAATGAAGAATTGGTTTGACATTTATTTGTCGAAAAGTTGAAACTGATTCTCAGTGTAATTTAAGATGGAAGTGAACCAAAACATCCAAATTGTCAATAATGTGAATGACATTTTTTCCCCAGTTTCCATGTGGGTGTTATAACATGCTTGACATGAACACAAGATGCCAATGACTTTATGACCATTTGATTGTGTTGCATACTGTCAGTGTCACTAACATTTACAACCTGTTTTGAATAAACTGTTCTCTGTAACTTACCAAGACTTTCCTTGTTTTCTTCTCATCATTTTGTCCACCTTTCTCCTTCTCAGTAAAATATCTGAACTTTAATGCATTTGATTTTTCAGGTTTAATTTGACCATTTGTAAAACTTGCTTGAAAACATAAAAATGTATAAAGTTAAATGTGCTTGCCGCCATGACAAAAATCAACGAATATAATTTATATAACAATGACACTCATACCCTTCTCTTGCACTACAACTACAACAACTACCCGACAACACCACGACCGCCTCCATACTCCAAGAAAATAAAATTAAATAAATATTTTTAATCCACATCTTATGTTAAAAAAAAATATTGTAAAATCTCAACTACCAGTAGAAATCTCAGTTCTAAGGCAAAACATTTTCTAAAATCTCCAGCTATTGCAACTTGGAAAACGTACTTTTTCGTATGCTGGGCCATAATTATAGAATAAACAGCCAAAGCCAATTATTGTCAGTGGGCCATTTCAAACTCAAAACAGTAGAGGGAGAGAGAGAAAGGAGAAACACAGACACACTATAATTCGATTGCACATAATGTCGTTAGCTATGGGGGAAACCAGGGGAGCAGGAGAAAATCCACGAGTTTAGACGGCGAATCTATTCCTTGTGACGTACAAGTTGGTAATCAAAACCACGCCAGTTGACTCAATGACAAAACTCAACCAATCGGGCAACCTCCACCCCACCCCCTTACCCAAAGAATAATAAAGAATCACAGCAACCGAGAATATTAGCTGACTACTGTGGCATTTGCCGTGACCGAACGCCATGCATTTCTATTTTATGTACAATGGAAAGCTATTAGAGGACGATGGATGTATCGAATTGCTTGTTCCTTTATTTGAAGGTGGGGATGGATGGTCGAATGGTTAGCATGTGCGCGCTATATCAAAATGTCTGTTATTGAATCAACTGACGTGGTTTCGATTCCCCGGTTGTACGTGACAAGGAGTATAGTCACCTATCCAACCTTGTGGGTTTTCTCCTGGCCCCCGGTTTCCACCCACTGCTAAAGACCACTAAAACGCGCATGCAAATTATTGTAATAGAATTGAACCAAGTATTAGTCCGGAAATGACCTAGTTTGTATAGAGTGCACGTTACCCCCCCCCCTCTCTCTCTCTCTCTTTATTTCAATCAATCTTGATTTTATTGAGTGTCATTTGAATTCGCTTTCGCTTTATCGTCTTTGAATTATTCAAATTCAAATATATCTATTGATGTATAACATGATGTTGTAAAGGTATCTTGTATTATTAATATAGCATGACCACGGTGGTCAATCAGTGAAAGTAAATGATGTATTAGGTAAGATTTATATAAAGAGTTGACAGTTCTCGCAATGAGAGGAGTTATCGTCGTTTACAGAAGAGCTTAGTCTCGATGGTCATTTTTGAATTAAATCATAAATCTGTTAAAAATCAAAACCGTCCGAAGTTATGGAGAGTTGATTATGGGCCTGGTATGTAAATACATATCGCATTAATTTTTTATAGAACATTTGAGGTCAAAGGAACGATCTGCAATATGCAAATTTAGCTCTAAAAAATGTATCTTTAACCAGTATAACATCCTTTATACTCAAGTTATTATAAAATCTCAATATGTTTCACAACATTCAGCATGGTTAAACATTAGCGATAAAATCTCAAAACGTTTCACTACCTTCCGCATAATATAATTTTAGCGATGAACGATTACTGTACATAAATGATAATTTGGCAGCGATTTGACTGTGACTCAAAAATTTCATTCAACTTCACGTATTCTTTGAAAAGGTTCAGTCGCAAAAATTAATAATTTATGTATTTTGTTCGTTTTTGTGGAAATGCAAGATGATACTGATTTCATACATGGGTTACAGATACAAAGCAGGCTGATATGAATATTATGACTTGTTGCTTTGTATTTATATTTATTTACATTGTTGCTATGTTTATCCTAAAACATTTGTGATAAATATCATATGAAATACGAAGACAAACCACGCTTGTGTGAAGATTTCATAGTTTGATTGTCTATTGTTGCTATGTTGAAAAGTGAAGTAACTATACATGTATATCAACATTGTTATGCATACTGCCTCAGTTTTGTTTTTTTTAAAGATAGGCCTTAATGTCCCGCAATATGATATGATCAAACAAAGATGGTCACCCTATATACGGCTATCTTAAAAATCAGTATTAATCCCAAAATTTGAAAATAAATTAAGAACACACTATTGTAATTATTTTAATTTAATTTCCCATTTTGATGGATTAGAAAAATGGGTTAGGGTTCAAATTCATCTCCTATTTTCAGAACATCTGTACTTTCCATTTTGAATAAGGTATGACATCATCATACAAATTAGACAATCAGAAACGATGTACGGTAAAATAGCGGAAGTAGATACTTTGCCGTATACGGTTAAATATCCACTTCCAAATATTTATCAGAATTTGCAGAAACTTCAGGAAAATCTATTGAGCTGACAAAGTCGTGAAAGTGTGGAAGGAAGGGGTTACAATATATTATATACCTCCACATTAACATGTACTCAAAATATCAATATAATATCTTCGCTTAGATGCAATCGGATTTAAAAGATTTTTGGCCATATATAATACACTATGTAACATTATTATAACAGATAATAAGGATGACGAATATGTTGACAAATTTTCAATTCACTTTACGGAGATTTGATTGCGCCTATCCAATCAATTTTCAGCGACTTTTATATGACAATCAACAAATTAAAAAGACAGTGAACATACCTACGAGTATCCCGTGTGTGTCGCTTTTTTTGATAGAACAAGACGACGACATATCAACCAATGTTCGTCGAGACTATTGATTGACAAACTCAATCGCATAAAAATAAACAACCAAACACGTGCTTTCGGTCAAGGTCGGAAATCGGCTGACTCCGTGAATCGGCGTTCGCTGAACACCACTATCTCTTTTAAAATATATCTCTGTCCTGACTGACTGCCGTTATGTACTATTTTGTTATGCGGACATGCGGTTCTAATCCGTTCCACATCTTTCATACACACAAAGAATAAATAAACATTTTAAAGTTCATTAAATATGCATGATATAAAATTTAGATAAATAGCGACCAGTTCTTCTAATAATAGTTTAGTCTCTAACTCAATAACATCCAAAATCTTCGACATTGAAAACACGATTTATTTGTCGGTTTAAATCAACATTGATGTTGTGATCTTACCGGGAAAAGATGACCTTCTGATATCCAATATTTAAGACAAAATAAACATTTTACGATTGGTACACGAATCGTGTACCATAATGGGTTTCAGCGCTATTTGTAATAAGGGACTCGAAAAACGAGGCTAGGGATATTCCACAAGTCATGTCAAATGGTGACATATTCTTATCTGGAGAGCAAGCCCAATAAATAACATCGGCGTAGACTGGAATAACCAGACGCTAGAGATTGAAATTGGATTGAGAATACTGGCGTATTTCGCCGAACCTAACTGATTAGAAATTACAGTAAAAACAGAAACGATTAAATGTAAATCAATTTATATATATTCATATTACATTATTGTATACGTTGCGACCCGTTTGTGTCAATTTCTAGGTCCCAAATATTAGCGACTTAGCTCCTTTAAAGTAGCTAAGTCTCTAACTCAATATCATTCAGAGTCAAGTACCGACTCATGCAAACAGGACTTAATTGTCATCGACTCATGAAAACAGGACTTATTTGTCCATTTAAATCAACATTGATGTTGTGGTCTTACCGGTAAAAGATGGACTACTGATATCTAATATTTAAGACAAAATAAACATTTTACCACTGGTACACGAATCGTGTACCATAATGCGTTTCAGCTCCATTTGTAACAAGGGACTCGAAGACCGAGGCTAGACATATTCCACAACAGTCGGCCAACCTCGGTAAATTCCGGTACTCTCCATCCAGATGAGTAGATTCTGTCGAGGTTTGCCGAATGATTCCACAAGTCACGTCAAACTGTTAAACTGGATAACCTGCTCTAATACGTCAGACTCGCCCCTACGTCTCTCCGTTTCTGATTTGCATATTGAATTCAGAATCAAAGCCGTATATACAGGGCTTTGGTCAGAATAGCGCATGCAGTGACCTAGGAACAAACCGGACGTCATTTAGAGCAGGTTGTCCAGTCTAGTCAAACTGTGACCTCATATTCTTTTCTGGAGAGCATACGCAATAAATACTATCGATGTAGACTGGAATAACCAGGCGCCGAACATAGCTGATTTGAAATTAGAGTAAAACGGAAACGATTGAATGTAAATCAGTTTATATACATTTATGTTACATTATTTTATGCGTTGCCATCCATTTGTGTCAACTTCTAGGTCCCAAACATTAGCGATTTAGCTCCTTTATTCTGACACTGAGCGCGCCGAAGGCGCACGTGCGTCCGAGGGGGGTCGGGGGAGGGGTCCCCCTGGAAAATTTTGAAAATTGACAACCGCAAACCCATTTTCCAAGCATTTCAGATAGAATTAGATAACAGAATGGCATAAGAGCACTATCATTAGATGAATTTGAGAATTCTCTTTAGTGTCAAAAACAAAAGATGAATTACACGGTTCTCGGTATAATGAGGTAACAGAATGGCATAAGAGCACTATCATTAGATGAATTTGAGAATTCTCTTTAGTGTCAAAAACAAAAGATGAATTACACGGTTCTCAGTATAATGAGGTCAAATTCTTCCTTTGTAGTACACTTCTTTTTTTGCGTTGTTTGTCAATCATTTTTTCCTATCTTTTCTTTCTCCTGTCCTGTGTCCTGTCCTCCCTTTCCTTCTTTCTTTTCTTTCCTCCCCCTCTCCTTTCTTTCTCTTTTTTCTTTATAAGCTTAGGCCCACCTGTCCACGGACAGGTGGGCCCAGTCCGGCACTGCCCCTCGTCAGTGATGCAGGGCGAAGGGCCTGGCAAGGACAACTGTCTAATCGTTCGGATGGTACGAAAAACGAGGTCCCGTATACACATTATCATGCATGTAAAAGAGTAGACCGTATAATAGCGCCGTTGTCATGGCAAATCTTCCCTCATAGCACACAGCATGGCGTATGCCCGTTTTCATTAGCCCAGTTGGAGCAGAACAGTATACGTTAAATCCCATTTCATTTCATTTTATTTCATTTGTTTTCCAATGTCTGTAGGGGGATGTGGGATGGCCGAATGGTTAGCATGTGCGCGCTGTATCATAAGGTCTGTCACTGAGTCAACTGGAGGGGTTTCGGTTCCCCGGTTGTACGTGACAAGGAGTATGGTCGCCTGTCCAACCTCGTGGGGTTTCTCCGGGTCTTCCCACTGCTAAGACCCCTACGCGCAAGCGAATTATTGAAAAAAAATTAAACCATGTGTTAGTCTCGAAATGACCTAGTTTGTGTCCAGTGGACGTTAAACCCCATTTCTCTCTCTCTCTATCTCTCTCTTGAATATTAATAATTTTCGTCTTAGTCCTAGAATGGAGAAGTGTAATGTGCAAAATAACTATTGTACTGTATTTTGTATTATTGAAAAGTGTATTCTGTATTTTAACCCTGTCATTGAGTCAACTGGAGGGGTTTCGGTTCCCCGGTTGTACGTGACAAGGAGTATGGTCGCCTGTCCAACCTCGTGGGGTTTCTCCGGGTCCTCCCACTGCTAAGACCCCTACGCGCAAGCGAATTATTGAAAAAAAAAATTAAACCATGTGTTAGTCTCGAAATGACCTAGTTTGTGTCGAGTGTACGTTAAACCCCATTTCTCTCTCTCTCTCTCTTGAATATTAATAATTTTCGTCTTAGTCCTAGAATGGAGAAGTGTAATGTGCAAAATAACTATTGTACTGTATTTTGTATTTTTGAAAAGTGTATTCTGTATTTTAACACTGTGACATTGGTATTGTGGAGCAATGAAAATTGCAATATTGTAAAACTAAAATACGTATTTTGAACTCCTGACATATGCAGTTTGCACCGTGAACATTGAAATAATATTGGAAACGTTATCCTTCCATATATATCAGCTTTATATTGAAATCACGCGGTGGTATATCTTTAAAACACCTTGACAAGTCCTAAGTGAACTGGCTCCTACGGATCTATATAAATATTATGTCTGTGCTGATGAGATGATGTACGTCTACATAGGCCTACTATAAAATCCATGCTCAAAAACGCCCGACTCCTCCTCACAGACAAAAGTTCATACACTACAGCTTATTATTGTAAATTTGTGTCAAATAAAGAATCACGGTGAAAAATAGAAGGTTAGGGTTCTAAAACAGCCTGAAAACAGAGGTGGGGAAGAGCGGTATTTTACCGTATATTTATGGCAGTTATATAGGGCCCGATAGGAATTGTCAGTGTACATCGTCCGCTTAGAGACAGTTCCTAAAAAAAAACTAGGTCTTTAGACGAGATTTGAATTGCCTTTAAGTCGAAATGGATCAAAGTTCATCTATTAAAGAAAGTACACGTAGTTTTAAAATATGCTCATCAATTTTATACTATGGTAGCAGATTGTATACTTGATCACCGAACATCATAGATCATTAACAATCCTATATCTGCCTGGAATTCACAAAAGAGGTTAGACGTTTCAAGATGATTAAACATACATTATGCAAGAGCTAAATCTGCCTATTGCAGGTCTTTCTTTAGGCCTGAAATTTTATGTAGGCCTTAACTATTAATTAGACATTTATTAACATGAAAAGATCTATTATTATTATAAATCAACTCTCGATGCTATCTTATGTGTCGGATGTTCACTAGATTTGAATCCGATCTGCTGCTCAACGCTCGTTGGTGATCAAATCCAAAAATGGATAATCGAGACTATGTTTTGCATCGTACCGACTTTAGTAATGATGATAATCGAGGCTAGGCCTAAAATTCAATCGCTAATATCTCGGTTCAGAGTAGAACAAATTGACTGAAATTTTCAGCATATTCCCTTTACATTATCTAGTTTGTAACTATTATAGTGAGAATTGTCAGCTCTTTGTATAATCTTCCATAATGCCGCTTTAAATAGTCCTATCTTAACAGCTTTCTCAAACATTTTTTGACAGGAACTAAGGAAGGGCAAGTTCGATACACAGGACGGTTATTTCTTAAGAAGTTTTTTTTATCAAGACTTGTCTTTTTAAGTCACACGTTACAAATATCCCTTTATTTCGACTTTTCAAAGATTTTGAAAATGTCACCCCATGTCCAGAAGGGCAGGACCCCCACAGGAACAATTTTTGTGGAGTAGGCTACCAATCCCATAAATCGTTAATTGCTAAGGAAGTTGTTAAAGGGAAGTAACTCTCATCGGGTAAAGTAAGCAAAACGTAAAGGTTTCCCTCCAAGTTAGTTAAAGAGACAGGTTAGGAATAAGCCAGAAGGTAGCCTAAATGCGAGAAGTCCAAATTATACTAAATGCGTATTTATTAACAAATTACAATTATTATATAATATATTAATAAAGACCGGACAGGTGTTTTTATAATAATATATGTAGGTTCGGGAGTTTTATTGAGAATCAAATTGTCAAGTATAAGTTCAGTAATAATAAACACTAGCAGAATGCCCGGCTTCGCTCGGGGGTCATAACCCCGAAACCGGAAGTGGTAGACTAACGCCACCTGGCCTATGTTACTCCCCGGTCCGAACTACCCCTATACCCCAAATTTCAGACTCGGGGCAGACCTAGTGTAGCCGCCAACCCCGAACAGATAGACAAACAGACAGACAGACAAACGACAGTCACAAATATTAGTATAGAATGAAACATTTCAGACAAAGAACGAATAGTAATAATAATAAGAAAAGTCAAACATAAGTTATATATATTTGAAATCAGCAAAACATACTACAGATTTTGATAATACAAATAAATATAAATGAATTAGATATATAATATACATTATTTACATAAATCATTCAGTAAATGGACATGAAATTTCATGAATATGGTTATCTACCCTTATAAAAACGACTGGTGTGTAAACTCTAGCTACGATCAAGGCCAGGGCCCTGTTTCTTGAAATCTTAACTAAAGATAAAATCCAAATTTTAGTAGATACTTCAGTTTTGATTGGCTAAGCACTAAAATCAATCTAATATTATCCAATCAAATTACTAAAATTAGGATTTTATCTTAGTTATTAAAATTTTGTGAAACAGGCCCCTGGGCAGATAATTTGAAATCGTGGAAATCCTATGGATTAACCCAGGGTATAGTGGAGTAGAACGTAATGAGAACACTGGGGATACCGAGGATTACTGTTTTGGCGTACGCCCGCCTTCATTAGCCCCGTCGAAGCAGAACAGTAGGACGTTAAACCCCATTTCATTTCATTTTTCCCACCAAGGGGTAACTTGAAAGTCACTCTTTATATGATTTAGATTGAAAATAAAGTGTTGAATTGAATTGATCTGGTGCGTTATTCCGATGGCAAGGCAGAAACTAGCAATACAATCGCCATGAACTCGGCGTGTGAGTATTCCTTAGTGGTCGCATGTTTGGTGCATGCTGACGTCAACATTCCCTACACTGTAAAACTTTTTCCGTAAAATTTACGGACAAATGGCTGGCAGCTAGGTTGCCAACCAATGTACGTAAAAATTACGACACACCGTAAATATATTTTTACGAACATGTCGTAAAAATTACGTCCAAAGATTGGCAACCTAGCTGCCAGCCATTTGTTCGTAAATTTTACGGAAAATGTTTTACAGCTGTAAAAAACTTATGGTATGATAAGCATCAAAAAGACATTTACTTAAGATTTAAAACAGAATTTAATTATTCAAAACAATATAAGATACAATTAATTCCTCAAAAATGCTTTTACATGATAGTTTAAGATATAATAAAAGACCTGAAAATACTGGAAATTGGAGATTACTGTCAGTAAGTAAAGCTAACAACTGCCTTAAAAAAAAAAAAACCTGTCAACCACAAATTCATATTTTTAACACATTTGATCAAGAGCAGATTTGATATTACAATATGGAGAATGTTTAGAGATCTAACATATTCTTTGGCTGTCAAGCAGTTTGGTGGTATATTTCAACAAAAACAAAGCTCCTTTCATAATTCTTCATTAATAATAATGAACATTTGTACATGGAATAGTGACGACTTTAAAAAAAAAAAGAGAATTTGTTGCCCTATTAACAAGGGAAATAACTCTCCAAAATATTTATCAAGTTCTCACAAGACAAGCAAACAAAAATTCCCAGCAATTAAAAAATGTATGTGAAAATTTCCATGGATGTATCAAATAATGGGTAGCAACAAAATATAAATTTAACAATAATGAAATTATCCATTCAAATTCTTGTACATGTAACATTTACATTATAATATTAATATTCAAATGAATTTTTTTTATAGTAGAACAACAACATTCTGAATCTATTCTACAAATATATAATCAGTGTGTTACAATAGAATAATCTTTTTCTAAAATCTTAACCAAGGTGTTGTAATATTTACCTCAAATCTATTATTTAAAACATCAACAACATGATAGTAAATTATAACAGTAAAACATGATCTAATGAAATAATGAAATCATTCAAATTTTTGGAATTAACAAGCCAACAGTGAGGCTGATGTCCCCCGCCGAAATAGGAAAATAATTAGAGGACACATATAAATTTATCACAAATTATCTTTTACAAAGTATTGAACAATCAAACAGTTCAACCAATCAAATTGCTTATCTCTGCTTACCCTAAGCGGAAAATGCTCATCTTCGAACTCCATCAAGGCATTGACCTAATCAACACATACACCAAGTTTGAACATTCTAGCTCAATTAGGAAGAGAGTTATCGTGCCCCAAAGTATCAACCAATCAAATTGCTTATCTCTGCTTACCCTAAGCGGAAAATGCTCATCTTCGAACTCCATCAAGGCATTGACCTAATAAACACATACACCAAGTTTGAACATTCTAGCTCAATTAAAAGTTATCGTGTCCCAAAGCATCAACCAATCAAATTGCTTATCTCTGCTTACCCTAAGCGGAAAATGCTCATCTTCGAACTCCATCAAGGCATTGACCTAATCAACACATACACCAAGTTTGAACATTCTAGCCCAATTAGGAAGAGAGTTATCGTGTCCCAAAGCATCAACCAATCAAATTGCTTATCTCTGCTTACCCTAAGCGGAAAATGCTCATCTTCGAACTCCATCAAGGCATTGACCTAATAAACACATACACCAAGTTTGAACATTCTAGCTCAATTAGGAAGAGAGTTATTGTGTCCCAAAAAGTGTGACGGACAGACAGACGGACGGACAGACGGACAGACAGACGGACAGACAGACAGACGGACGAACCCATTTTAATAGTCCCCTGCTTTCTTCGAAAGGCGGGGGACAATGAATTTGCATTCTAAATGTTTAAATGAACAATTTAAAATCTAACAATTATTGAACCCCAAAAGTATCATGACTTTAAAACAAGAACAGCATCAATGCAGAATTCCTATTATTCCACCTTAAATGTACAGCTTGTTTCAATGATTAGCTTAATCTCTGTTTGAAAATGTATATCATTAAATTTTCCACAATAACTCTGCCTAAGCATGTACATTCCTTAGTGAGAATGGCATAAATTGATTCAGTCTCGTAGATAAAAATTTAGATGGAACTCAACTACTGACAAAGTTAATGAACCAGTCCCAAAATGAAATGTGTAGATGAGAGTTACACAATTTTAATGTTTATGCAACACGGCCGCATATTTAGAGACAAAATGAACGGAGGATAATTTTACAAATGTACCAAATTGTTGATGGACAAATTAAATGACCAAAAGATTTTTCCATTAAAGTAAACGGACATCTTATCAAAAGTACAATAAGAAGATCAAGTTTAATTAAGAAGATTCATTAAAAAGATTTCTTGCAGTGCGTTTAAAGTCTCATTTACGAAGTATCACTCATAAAAGGGTTGTGGCTCGGTCCCTTATCACCTATTTTATACACACTATGTGCTGGTGTATAAAAACTAACCATAAACTCAATAGGCCTATCCCTAAAGTTTGCATGCATGAACATTATTGCATCATAGGTTGCAACGATACATATCACAGTATTTCTTCTTGGACGTGTTTCCAGCTCCCTAGCCACTGCTTTTCCATCTGACGTTTTTGATTCAAAATGTTCCTATATCCGTGATTTGTGGTTCGCCGGAGGGGAATGTACTTTCAGCGGGACACATGTTTCATTGCCGAAAGCCATCTTTTCTCCTTCTTGTCACATGAACTACAGGGGAGTATTCTGCATCGGATGAAAATGGACAGTTAAAATATCTGTACCATGTTAACCAAACCGTGGTCCAGAATTAAAAGCACCTTGAACCAAAATGTGGCATCTATACCGTCGTATACCTTCTCACAGTACCGGTATATTGTTGCTATTGTTGTAACTGTACTTCATCCATTTAAAGTTTGACAGTTTAGTGATTAGTTATACCACTTTTTGGCACACTCGAGTCTTCCTCTTTTTCATGTTTTCTGTGCGTTATCTGGGTTAATTTCAAAAATGCACCTGCAAAACAAATATTCTCAATCAGGTTGTTTCTTAGGACATCCATTTCAAAAGAACACATTTTAATTAAGGAAAAGGGAGCTAAATGTGCGAGAAAATGAAGTTTCATGTCCACAAACAGGAGACTAAAGAGAGAGAGAGAGAAATGGGGTTTAACGTCCACTCGACACAAACTAGGTCATTTCAGGACTAACATATGGTTTTAATTTTATTTCAATAATTCGCTTGCGCGTAGGGGTCTTTAGCAGTGGGAGGAAACCGGAGGACCCGGAGAAAAACCCACGAGGTTGGACAGGCGACCCTACTCCTTGCCACGTACAACCGGGGATTCGAAACCACGCCAGTTGACTCAATGACAGACATTATGGTACCGCGCGCACGTGCTAACCATTCAGCCATCCAACCCCCCCAGGAGACTAAACATATCACAAATACTATCAGTGTATACTGGAATAACCAGACTGCCATTCAATTTGGACATATTTCGCCGAGCATAACTGATTACAAATTACACTAAAAACAGAAACGACTGAATGTAAATCAGTTTATAGACATTCATAATAGATTATTATCGTTGCGACCCATTGTGTTCATTTCTCGGGGCCAAAGAATACAGATTTAGCTCCTTTAAGTTAGGCTGAACTTTTCTGATCATGATTCATATTGGTAGTAGCTGTAACTAACGTAACACCCATTGCTTTCCGGGTTAAAACCCATGCTTTCTTCTATCGTTACCGCATCTTGGGTTTCTGATCAGATTTTTGGACTAACCAGTGGCGACTCTGCACCTATGACAGGTAAATCTAAAAGCAGACTAAAATAGGATTCACCTATTGCTAATAAGACCTACCCCAAGGTTCAAGCTGGGAGAGAGAAATGGGATTTAACATCCACACACAACACGAACTAGGTCATTTTTGGATTAATAGACATAGAATTTTATTTCAATAATCGCTTTAACCGTAGGTCTTTTATAAACAGTGGGAGGAAAACGAACGACCCAGAAAAAATGAACACGGTTAGTCAGGCAATCTTACTCCTTTCAACGCCACTTGACTCAAAGACATAGGCTTCATTCTGACCTAACTAAGGCCCATGTTAGACCATGGATCTTATATAAGCTCCATGGTTAGACCATTCGTCCAACCACCCCTCAAATTTCAAGGTCCAAGCAGAGGGCAGGAAGTGTTGGTTTTCATTAACAATGCGCTCAACTCCCAAAATTATTATCTTCAGTAAGTTCAATCTTATAATTTTTCTTTACCGGTAGGGCCTACGTTTGAAAAAATTTTACTAACCCAGAGAAAGGCTGGGTAGCCCACTCTATAGATGACAGGAATGGCACTCAAGGATGCAATAAGCTGTGCCTAAAAAAATTAGTAAAATAAAAAATTAAAGATCATTATCCAGACAATGCTTTGACAATTCAATAAATTCTTAATAATGGTTTTCAGTGGTAGGCCTAGCCTACAGACCTGAGACTATGAACTTAATGAAGCCCAGAAATGTTAGCCCTTCATAGTTCATATATTTTTTTTCTATATCAATGTTATTATTATGTCATCCGAGTAGCCTCAACTAGAACTGAAGCCTCCAAAAACAATGCGAAAAAATATTAGGCCTAGCACTAACACCAGAGTGTATTTTTACTCTGTGCTAACACTAACACTGTGACAGTGTATGTGAGTATCATGTATGTCCATTTGTCTAGAAGTAGAAGAGTCTATTCCTACTATTTCATAAATCAGTTACCGTACATTTTTACGAATGCTAAGAATCAATCTATGTCAAACAAAGATGTGTCCCTACTGTATACTTACCTAAAACTGCAATGTTTGGTATTGACTGTAGTGTTCAACTATTGTGCTCGATGTTGAGGGATTCCTCTTTGCCGCTAACTAACGGTCTTCGCAGTAATGGCGCCCAGGAAGACCGATGACGTCACTTTAATTTAAACACCCGTATGTCATATTTACGGACGAAATTCTGTATTTCTTAAATATTAACAGACTCGTGTCTGTAATCAGGATAACAGACCTGCGCTGTAGGCGTTTTACAGAAACAAGTCTGTAAAAATTACAGAAAAGGCTTACAGTGTAGAGTATACTGTTCTCAGAATTTAATTATAACGAATCACCTGCGTTACACTGTGGGCCAACAGCGCTCGACTTTCAGTGTATAGATTATTGTTTTTGGACGGCATTGATCCCAAGGCAGTCATCAACATCTTTGGTAGTCAGAAAGCTCGAAATAAACATATGTAAAATATCTTTCACAAGTTCATATCCCATAATGCGGTAATTTTTTTGGCGACTTTGTTTCCAAGTAGTGGGTGATTAAAATTCACTCTCTCTATTGAAGAACAACTGTCAAATTAGAATCCTCGCTTTCTATTGAAACGACCCTTTTCACGCAAAAATCCGTAATACCCGGAAACCATGATGAGTTCAGGAAAGCCTTGGCAGAAGGAATTGTAACGTTTGAATAACCTTCCCGCAGACATTTTATCATGCGAGTTCCATCGCTATATACACTTTTCATGTCGACCTGAGCAACAAAATCATCGGTCCCTCCAAATTTGACGAGAGCCCCCCCCCCCAGTCGACAGGACCTTATCTCTTAATCCACCCCTTTAAAAGGGTGTCAATTCTATAAACTGAAGGTTGGATAATGCCAAGGTCAGAAGCTAACATTTTGAGAACATACGACAAAATGGATTTATAACTAATTCAGATAGTTAAAAACGACTAACATTACAATAAGCGTATATTTTTTTATTAATTTGATATAATATTGTATAGAAGCCTTATGAAATGGGGGTTAACGCCCTAGTTTGCCGCAACAACTGGGCAAACACGGGGATATGAGTTTCTGCCAAAAGTAATTGGATTTATAAAAAACTGTTTATGTTATATTGAAGGCATATTGAACGATTAGTATTTTATTAAAAAAAAATACAATCTACATAAACAATCACAATTAAGCATAAAAACAATATCGGAGTAGTGGAGTAGTAAACAGTGCGTGAGGCATAATATGGATAAATAATTCGTAAAATAACAATAGCATCATTTTCAAATAAATGATTGTTATAACAGGTAAGTAAGTAAGTAAGTAAATAAGTAAGTAAATTTTAATGCATAAAAACGCCACGGGCAGCAGCATACAATTACAGAAATTACATTAATCCAGTACAACAAATATAGATGTAACAGGAGAACAGAATAATGTAGCAATAGATATTAAAGTGAAAGTAAGAGTTAAGTGCCTAGTGTTTTTTATTCGTGGTTCAAAATATAGAAAATAACTTCACTAACCAATAATTAGTGATGGATGATTGACCTATCCACGATGTATATATTTTTTAGTGTGAAAGAATAGCGATCTTTTGTTAGTCTGTGTTTAATGTAAACAAAACCGGATCTTCTGTGAGTATTTCTCGCAAGCCCCTTAGCGGACACGTACCGTACGATGTCTAGAATACAACAAACTAAAAGGTAAGATCTCGTTTTTACACCCCCCTCCTCTTACGGATTTGATTTCTTAGTTATGCAAGAAAATAGTAGCCATCTGCCCCCTCTCTCAATCTTTCACTGCAAAATGCCTTGTTCAGATATTGTTGAATGAAGTCCGGAGGTTTGGCCTGGTATATTTTTTGTACACTGACTTGAGATGATATAGAAACACTCATACCCCGGTAGAACAAAAGATAAAACGAATTTCTGTAGCATTATTCCCCGGAAAATGTTCAAGACAGTGGGAATAAAGCAACGGCTTAAAATTAGAAAAGGGGTGGGGTGGGGCACAGGCACTTGAAGGGATTAAAATAAAACTTCTTACTACTGCTTGACTATATATCTCGAAATTTGGTCGGTAAATGATCGAGTCTACGAAGCGAGGCCGCAGGTGCAGTCTGGATCACCCAGTTCCTAGGAAAATTTCGAGTAACGGATAGGTTTATGAGGGACTGGGTGATACAGACTGCTACAAACACAACTTATTTCCGGGCTGTTCGAGTTACATTTCGGAAAGTGATAGCGCTTCAAGTTTGATTTGTAATTAATAACGCCGTGAAATGACCAATTTAATTACATCAGAAGCTGAATAATGATCAAATAGGGTCTCGTTGGCAATAAAAACGACGGGTAGTGTTAGAACTATAGTGAGTATTGTGAGGTGATAGCAGAAGAAATGTCTTGAAGACGTGTAAACAAAGATGGCGTCTGAAATACCTTTTATATACTATAACATATAGTCAAGCAGTAGTAAAAAGTTTTATTTTAATCCCTTCAATTGCCTGTGGGGTGGGGGTATGTAAGTCATACAAAACCAACGAATGCCAAAATTTTGATTGGGGGGGGGGGGCTACTTTCTTCGGACTTTAGACGAGGGTCCAGGGTCCGCCTAGAACCCTGAAGCTCCTGGGGGTCTAGATCTTCAGAGATGTTAGTGAGCGCTCCTGGGGGTTTAGATCGTCGATGCTTTCTGAGCGATTTCTGGCTAATGAAATTATTCAGCAGGGAAGTTTTAATTATTTTCTAAATCCCTTACCCCAAAAATGCTGTCGATGGTGGTTTAGTGTGATGTTGAACTGAACAAATATAAGCATAACGGTTGTGGACCACTAAAGGTCACAATTTTTTATCCGATTTTGATGTATATTTATAACACAAAGATCTCGGTTCCTGTCGATATTCCTGGATTATGGCCCCTGATTGTACAAAAATTAAATTTTGAGCTTCTGGACTCTCTAGAGGTCACAATGTTCATTTGATTGTAAAAACCGTTCAAATATCACCGTTACATCATAATTACGGCTGAGTTTAAATTTCGTGATATTCCTGGATTATGGCCCCTGATTGTACGAAAAGTCACATTTTGAGCTTCTCGACTCCCTAGAGGCCACACGTTTCAATTGATTGTAAAAAACCGTTCAAATATCACCGTTATATAATAATTACAGTTGAGATTAAATTTCGTGAAAATCGGACCGAAACTGCCCGACAAAAGGGCCGCTCCCCTTTACGCAAATAGTGTAAAAGCATGTAATACCAAGGTTGTGGACCATCTACAGGTCAGATTTTCATCCGATTTTACAGATCTGGGTTCCTTTCGATATTGGAGCGTATTGGATCGTAACTTTCTGATTATGGCCCCTGATTGTACCCTCTAGATGTCACATTATTTTTTTTTGTTCAAATATATCACCGTTACACCATAATGAGTCCAAATTTCCTAGCCTCCCCCACCCGGCCCCTACTCCACCGGGCCTGTTATGGCCTACTGAGTATAAATGAGATGAAATGAAATGGTGTTTAACGTCCTACTGAGTATACAAAGTCAAGATTATTATTTTCAATCATAGTTCATTATTCAATAATACACACACTTCCCTTTAGTGTCCAGAAAGTTAATTACTGAGATATTTATGTAAACGGTAAACTACGGTATCGTATATGCCTTTCATTGCGAAAAGATTCATTCGATAAAATGAGTGCCCAAGGGAATTTGTGAAAAGAAGAAGGGAAATGCCAGCTGTAATTAGATTTCATTCAAAAAATCCCAATCGATCAAACTTAATCAGCTAACTTTCACTAAAATTTCTTTATGCAGATTTATAAAGGAACTCATTTTAATATTGATTTCAATTCCATAACACAGTAGGCTAGCTGGCTTTCTCGATTCTGATACCCGAACTTAACCTTCTTCATTTTGATCTTTAGTGGATATATCTCTGTCATCTGGAGTTGATTTCTATAGATCCTTTCAAATAATGATGGACAAGATATATTGGAACTGTGTATACCAGACGCACACGAATTTTGATCGGTTAAATTTTGACAGTATACCAATAACAGACCAATAGCACAGTATGCGGTTGAATAATAGTTTATGCTTTATAAACCTAACTATGCAGAAACTCGATGTTCTCTGCGATACAAGTATATAAGGCAAGCAGAAAAAACATTCTCTCACAAATTAATACAGTGATAAAATAACTCTTTCGCTACAAGGTAACGTACACATAAGCTATATTCAGATTTCAAAAACAATTATATTCAATAATTTTATTGTGAGTCTGTACTTGTTTTATCAAACAAATGCGTAAAAACCAGAACAATAATTTGCAATAAGGCGGCTGTATTTAGATTATATAATAATACACTTGAGAGTAAATAACGCAAAACATTCTAAAGCAATCTTGATAGATCGACGTAAAAATCAAATGAGGTTATCTCAGTTCTATGTACGTACATTAATTGGAATCAATCATCAAATTAAGTATACATGCTACATAAATACAAAGGTTACAATAAAACTACTATATACGAATGCACAGGGTGGGTATTTTTCTAGCAGCAGATTTGAAAAAGCGTAGTGCGATATTAGCGATAAAAATATTCATTAAAAATCTATACAAATAACAATTTTTCATATTTTTCTACGCAATTTAAAGAGATAATTTCAGATATTACAGCCGTTTTAAACTAAATTTGCCATGACGGAGAAAACAATTGACGTCATGAGATGTCAATGTCCGAATAATAGCACTGCACCAAAGCATGATAGTTAAATTTGTTTCACTTTTATTCCGACTCAGTCCATTTACTGTGTGTAAGTCCTAGCATCTGGATACAAAGCTTACTTTGATGTTTAATAATGGTCTATATGACGCATGTACATGTAGCCCCAATTATTCTTGCAATGAAAATTTTCAAACTGTCAAAATTAGTGGAAATTAATTCTATAGCCGATAACCTTTTCAAAGGTAATATTTTGAAACCAATTGTACAGGACATATTATAATTATTGGTGTATTGTCATATCGTACAAAATTCGCAAAAGGGCGTAGGGTGAAATCCGTCGGCTTTCTTTGAAGAACGTCTATAAAAGGTCAATTAATAGTATTAATAAACTTTTACATAAAAAGTGTTCGCGAATAGGTAGAATGTATTTGGCTGTCGCCTACAATTTGAAATGTGTTCACCCAATAACCAATATATCATAATGAAACCAATAAAACCAATGCCACCCCTATATGGTGAAGAAATTGCCAGGTGAAGGTGAATGGTCTAATGAGAAAAAAAACTCAATTTCATCAATGCCATTATTAATTTATGTCGCAGACCAAGCATCCAGAAGAGTTGTGTTTGATGGAATAAATATGCGGGTGCCGCGTCTTAGTGTGTTTAGAAACTATTTTTTCAATTTTAACGTAAATTCGGTACGAAACACGTATTGTTTTCGTAAGAGTTATTTTTATTATTATTTTTTTTTTTTTGCAGATTTTAGTCAGAGTTTGGGTCAATTTTGACAAACAGGAAGTGTTTACGGATGGGGCAAAAAATAATCTCAGATTGCCCATATCTCGGTTATTTTTCAACGGATCTTCGTTGGATTTTGAGTTTTGGATTCTTTGGACGAATCCCATAGGGGCTCTGACTGACGGTTTTTCGAAATTCGGTAGTTCGTTCGATTAGTTTTAGCATCAAAGATTTGCGAAAGTTTTCTTCAGCATTTTTTCGACATTCTAGATGGCGTATATCTATTAGTAATTGAGGTATCAAGTTGAAACTTGGTAGGAATAAGGAACACATTGGTGCCTTTAAAATAGCATATTAAAACTTTTTGTGACATTTTCAACCGTTTGGCCGCCATATTGGATTTTACAAAAAACCTTCAAATCGATATTCAGCCCCCATTTTGATTCCGATTTGTTTTGACCTTACTCCAAATGGCAACAATTCTATAAAGGAGCCGATGTTTGAATGTGCATGTGCAATATATATTGTAAATATTCATTATGATATAAGTACAACAAATAAATATATATCCCTTTAAACTAGAGGCAAAAAATAATTGGGTATAATCGTACTGAAGTACCCGTAAGCACACATACTAATTTCGAGAGAATAAGTAAGGCGTGTTTAGATTTTAGATCGTTACGGTCACAAAAAACGATTTGATAAGAAGTAACCATATAATTAGCCCACTATTATTGTTTTCATTGTAGTATAGAGCTCATAATGAACAGTGAAATAGCTCCTTAAATCTTACAGGATAAACAGTTTGTTATCGCCATTTACAGACAATTGTGAGTTAATATTCACCAATTTCTTATTTGTATAGACACCCTTGAGTGATTTTATAGTACATAGCACATCCAATATAAAATGACGAATAAAACAAAGGCAAATGGGAAAAATAATCTAGATATTTGGTCTACTTTGGTGGCCTTCTGGCGTCCTAGAGGATCTGTCATCCATTTATCTCTAGCATTCATCACAGAGTTTTCATTCTGAAATTTTAAAAGAGAAAAAAACTCGGTAAAGAATATTATCCTTCCTATACAACGCAATTAGCGCCCCCAGTGTTCATAACAGAAACCTATTACATACTTGTATTGTTTAGCACCTTAAATTCGTTAACTAAATTGAAGTTAAAACAAAATTATTGGCTCATAAATGCAAGGTTTCAATTGATGGACTTGGATCAAACATTAACCTTGTATTTGGATGATATTATACTCGTACCTTTAGCTGATCGGTTTCCTCGCCATTGGCTGATACACTATACAAGGATGTCCGTTCTATCTGTCGACGATCCAACACGTTCACTAGAGCAAATTCTAGAAGCACAACAAACACAAAGCACAAGCAGGCTGCCATCCAAACATCTATAGCTTTTATGTAGGAGACTTTTGGCAAAGATGATACGGCCATTGATTTTTGGGTTGTCATTGTCAAAACAGTTAAAATACCCAATGATATTCTGGCCGGTACAGCGTCCACATTTAACCAGAAAGACACCCAGGATAGCAATACAATTAACATACTAGGTACATAGATTTGGATCATATAAAATCCTATATTCCGTTGAAGATAAAAGTCCACAGCTATACAGGTAAAGTTTTCTGTAAGAAAAGAAGAATAGATAATTGAATAATAATAAAATAAAAATATAATTTATAGCTCTGGCAAGGACTAATGACAAGTATTGATTTAATGGTTTGTGGGCGAAATTATATAGCTACTAAAAGAATACTCGTTGATATTCGAAATTGAAGAGGAACTTGCTACTAACATAATATATACACCAATGTGTGATTGGTACCACAAAATGTGTTCGCAAGACCTTAGTCATTACGTAAGTCCAGCGACTACAGACAATTTTCATTCATTCTTGAAAACATTACGGTTTGACATGGTGAAAGAACTATATTATTATGGTCATTATTACTTTTAATATATTTTTACTTTTATGCTACATTTTAAAGTCACATTTTATCTTTACGTTTTATTATAGCCAGCCACTTTTTTATGTTCCAGTAAGTGGCAATTCTTACACTTTATAGTGATATTACATTTAATGGCTGTACAATGTCGGAAGTAGCAGCCCAACGAATTCTAGTAATAGATTTAGTCTAGTAGAATGATTTACACAGTAACCAATCAAATGAGTTGTTGATGTTCTAAGTGTTTTAACGCCCGCTTCCACCGAAGGTGATATCGCAGACAAGTTGTCTTATTTTCATTTTTATTATCTGAGAGCACGCGCAGTGGTCTTTCCTGTGGGATGAAACCGGAGTACCCGGAGTAAACCCACCCTATTTCCAAGCCACTTACGCTCACAGCAGTGATCGAAACCACAACCGCACGCCAGAGATGACCGGCCAGCTACAGGTCGAAGCCCGACACTCTAGACCCCCCCCCCCCCGGTTCTACTTACATGTATAGTGAAGATAGATAATGACGAAAGCGATTCGGATCTACTTATGGATTGAACGAGGAAGCTAAATCTAAATTCGTTAGCTATTACAATGTACCATATGTACCACAAATGACTTATCATGTTTTCCTTTCGGATAAGCCATCTTTTTTTTTTGCGACAAACTGCTGTATGGGCGTGACTATCTTTTTGTAAATGGCAACGTTGGACTGTTAAAGGAGCTAAACCTCTAACTCAATATATTCCATAATAGTTGAAATTAAAACACGAATTAGAAATCAATATTGGTCCATTTCAATCAATACTCATGACGTTATCTTACCGTGAAAATATGGGCTTCTGATATTCAATATTTAAGATACAATGAACATTTTAAAATCAGTTCCCGACGCCCGGTTCTCTACGGTCTTGAGTGACATTTGTAATTACACACTTCTAAACAATTTGCGTACAACGAGCAACCATTTTGTCGGGCAGTTTCATTTCGATTTTCCCGAAATACGAATTCAACCTTCATTATGGTGGAGTGGTGATGTCTTTAAACGGTTTTAAAAAAAGGAAAAAAATTGTGACCTCTAAGAGAATCCGCAAGCTAAAAATGCGAGTTTTCGAACAATCAGGGGCCATAATACAGGGAGTTAAGTTCTGGTATCCGCGATTAGCAAAAGGAACCAAGATCTTGGTGTGTAATGGTGATATATTCGAACGTTTTTTTTAAAATCGAATAATAGTTGTGACCTCTAGAGGGACCACAAGCTGAAAACGCGATTTTTCGTACAATCAGGGGCCTTAATTCAGGAAGTTAATATGATTCGATATATACAAAAATAGAAAGGAACCAAGACATTTGGGTTATAAACATGGATTTCAAGTGTCATCAAAATCAGATGAAAATTGTGATCTCTACAGTGTTCACAAGCTAAAAACGTGATTTTTCGTACAATCAAGGGCCACAATCCATGAAGTTTCATTGAAATCGGATAAAAATTATGACCTGTAGAGTGTTCACAAACAATTGTGGACGGACGGGGGCGTATAAAAGGAACAGGCGGAAACGACTGCCATTCAATTTGGGCTGTTAACCTATTTCACCTAACATAACTGATTAGAAATACAATAAACGTTAAAATAAAATGACTATACATCAGTTTACATAGATTCATATTACATGTCTATGCGCTTTTGACACATTTTGCCCTTTAATTTTCTGTATTTTTTGTACACATCGAACATTGAATAATCAACTTTACAATGATGTTACGTTGTCAGAATAAAACATTTCTATGAAGAGAGGTAATATTTAAATTTAATAAATTGCACGCGTTTCTCTACTTTTCGCAAAATCCTTTGTAGAAAAACAACCTTAACCAGACAGGGAGACGAGTTTGACGGGGCTAAATTAGATGAGCTGTGACAAATCACCCATGATCTCGCCTCCGACAGAAATCGTTAACAATTTAGAGCAGACTGTAATGCACCATATATTAAACCCACATTAACCTGGTTGGTGTAGAAAAGCAGGACGTTAAAACACGTATTTCTTTTATGCTGCATATTTTAGCGGATGCTTTGCAAGCGTCAGCATCCGATCCACACAAAAATACGTAACCAAATTAATATATATATATATATATATATATATATATATATATATATATATATTACACGCAGAATCCGGCGAGAAAACGTTACATGCCCCCATCCCCCAGTGTCCGAGGAAAAGACCAATGGATTCAATGCAAGGACACTTGTGTCCAGTACTAAGACGAGCAACACCATCCCACCAGTCATCATTGCTGTTATGCACGAGCCAATTATATTCGACAAAATCCAAATGTCATGATTAGAGTTCTCATTTTTCTTCTTCTTTCTTGAGCGGACGGTATTGAATGCACGTGTCAGGTGTCGGCAATGAAATCAGATGTTCCAATTTGTTTCTGATCTTACAAGAAAAAGTCCTAAATCTCATCTACGTTGATGTAATATTCAAAATTCAGATCAAGAGAGCGATTTAGGTTTTAGTGACAGGGACAAGTTTGATCGGTGGAGCATTTATTGCAGGGTTAACGACAATATACGTTTTATAATAGTAGAGTCGAAATTAATGAAATTACAATTATAAACTAGCTGGGGACAGTAATTACCACCTAATCAGTTTGACATGGGATCCCAAATTGCTCTAACATGACTCTGTATTCCCATGATACCATATGTTGCCATATAGGTTAATAGCATATCTCAAATTCTAAGTGCCATTGGATTATTCAATCTGAAAACTTGACCAAAGCTAAAAGCAATCCAAGATTTCCTTTTGATACGCTGCTATATATCGCGGTATTTTTTCGAGACAAAGCTGCTATGTAGGCGTATACATGCTTTACGTGGCTATCGTTTTTCAAATTTGGTGTGAAGCATTAATCCGCAGCCTGCTGTTCCAAAGCCGCACCCCAACTCCCCTCGAGTAGGTCTGTGTTAAACTACATTCATTCCACAAGAGTTTTTAATAATTTTTGACGAATAGTATGATGTTATATTCTATCATGTTGTTATTGTTTGTTTCATATTTTTGTTACGAATTTTCCACCAACGGATTCTAAATTATGAAACTTGAATGACAAATCGCCTTTATTTATAAAATGCTTTTGATCCTAGAGGGAATTTTGGGATGGGGTGAATTGAAAGATAGTTGTTTGATCTTCTTGTCTTAAACAATCCTGGCCATCTTGTGGCCTATGCACCCCGATGCCACATGGTGGAGATTCCAAACTCCCATTTCCAATATCTAGAATCTACTACAGAACTAATTTTCAGGTGATATTTTTGATTTGCTGCCGATAATGTTTTAGATTCAGAATCTGAAGTTTGTGGAGCACATTCTCTCATCATTCATCAGACTTTGGGGAACCTGCTACATTTTGAGGAATACAAATAATTTAGTATTTGTGTAAAATTAACACCCAGCCTACATCGATTACAGAGACATCATTGAATAATATAAGTCTCAGTACACTATGTTAAAGGCCTAATAGAAAATTTGCTCATGTTAAAGTGTGGATCCCTAGAACTCTAAACAACTAGACTAGGTCCAGTTCAAAGTGACATAACTACACAGTGTAGCCAGATTAATCTGAACTCTAACTAGCCTAGATCCAATTCATAGTGACTTAATGTAGCCTACAGTGCTGAACAACATTCTTTCATATCAAGTTTGCTGTGTACTTTTACTGAAGCCTGATTTAAATCAATGATTTTTATCCCCAAAAGAAGTAGCGTACAGTGCTGTACAAGTGACATTCTTTGAAATCAAGTTTGTTGTGTTATTGTTAATTTTCACTAAAGCCTGATTTAAATCAAGAGACGACAAAAAAAAAAAAAAAAAAAAAATTGTAAAAGAATGCTTTAACAATCTATTATTTTTGGCCTTTAGCAGTATTCTAGCCAATTATAAACGTTATCTGATACCATATATTTTTGTGAATTATGTTATGTTGAATGGTTGTGTGTATATGTTATTGTATCATGATCTTAAATATGTAGATAATTTGTTAATATTTTGCTAATTGATGTTTTTCCATGTTTGCTAGATGCATTATTTATTTCATTGTTGTTTAAACTTGTAATCGTCCCGATTTGGTTTGCTCACAATGACTTTTATAATCAGTTGCTCATACAGTAGTAGAACGAACTAATCGGGGTCAATCATATTCAATGTTTAGACAAAATTGTAAACATTTTTAAAAACTATTTTGCAAATAGTGTATACAATTATGGTCGCTGAACGTAAGAAACCCCTGTAATTTGATAGATTTGATGGGTCTGTTTTAAATAGGGATCTGGCTAAGGCCCATTTTGTATCTTTCGAAGATAACCTTGTGTACTCCGACTAGGAGAGTAATCCTCACACAGTTCCCGCTTTTTAATCATTATTTAAAGGGAACCGCGAGATTGTAGATACTGGAGACAATATTCCGAAGTCGTGTATATTTACGTACAAAATTCATTAATAATAGATTTTCCGAAAATAAGTCTTCATTTGGTTTACACCAAGACTATTCCTCATTTACCAGTGGCGGATCTAACTGTGAATAGTGTGTGGGTGGGTGTGTGGGTGTGTGTGTGTGTGTGAGGTGGTGGGGGGCAAATCTTGGGCGCCACCCACAATCACATCCCAGAATAATTGTCAAC